AACATATGCCTACAAGCCCCGAACACACGATTTCACCTTCAAAGAAGTGCGTCGAAAAGGCTTGCTGGATTTAGTGAGGAAGCAGGGAATATATCTAATAGGGGTTATTCCCTTATTCCCCACTAACCATAAGCAAGAAAAGGTCGGTGTGCAAGAGCAGAGCAGTCCACCAGAGTCATTGCCGACAATGTCAGAGGCATTTCAGGTTCTGCAACTGGTAGGGTTTGGGGGTTTAGGGCTTGGGGTTTAGGGTCTAGGGAGTTTAGGCAGTTCGGGCTGAGAGGCTTGGGGATCTATCCCTGAAAGCCTTGCGCCCCGAAATGAGTCTGCCTAGTAGACTTGTCCGAAGTCTCTCTTGCGTGCTTCTGCGCAATTCTATCCACATGCGTGGTTCTATTTCTTGTTGTCATAACTTTTGTTATGTTGATTGAGCATGTTGGTCTTGCATGAGTTCTGCAGGCTACAAGGTGCTGCGGTTTGGGATTATGGTGGGCCGATGTGAGAAGTAACTCCAAGTTTCTACTGCGCATAAATTGGAAGAGGAATAACGATGCGTGTCTTTTCTGACTCACATCCCAATAAAGATCCGGACAACTGTAACGTTCCCTCATGAGCCTTGTACAACTATTCCCAAACATACCCGTTACCTTCAGTACTGCCCCCCTCAGCAACAGTTGGATAATATTTATAATATGGTCATATGTAGCCCTTAATAAGACTCCTAATATGGACTGTTACTGAGTAGGGGCAGTACCCAACCATTACCCTTTTCCGACTGTCCCAGGAAGGGACTATTAAAGAAGTGTCTGTCAATGACCCAGTCAACACCGAAGCAAAACCATTACATAGAATTTAAGGCTTACCCGTCTCTATTAGGTCTTGGTATACTAGACATTGCGGGTTTTGGGATTCCGGACAGAGGAGGTAGGGTGTAGGATTTAGGGTTTAGGGCTAGGTTTCAGGATACAGGGTGTAGGATTTAGGGTTTGCGGTTCATCGCCATGCCAGGCGGGATACCCTAGGCCGCAGGTTTTCTGAAAAAATAGTGTTGTTTCCTGTACAACGACCGCTATTGCGGACCATTTACCCAGAAAACTTCAAAATTGGTTCTGCACCCTGCCCTGACGAGTCTCGCCTATACTGGAAGTCGTACCTATTGGGGTCTCCATGTGAGCTATAATCTAAACTTCTTAAAGGGGTCGTTATATGTGGGATTATTATATGGGTTATTAAGGGGAATACTAGCAGTTTAGACTATGGCTGATGTCAAGTATGTCCTCCAGTATTTGGGACGGTACGCAACAAGGAACCGTCTTTTTGATAACCTTGCATATGTGAGTTCCTATCCATGGTATCGACCTTCGGTGGTGGTGGGGGGGAGATAAGTGTACTGGGCTGGGCCAAAACACATTGGCAAAAATGGACCGCCACAGATGCCTGCAAGACGGAACCAACGCTTGGCGACGCTCTAGCCCTACAAACTCTGACGCTGTGGCAGTGCAATACAATACGGGGGAGTAGTTACTACATGGATTCTAAAAGTAGGTAAAATAACAGCCCAGAAGCCTTAAATGCAGCGAAAAAGGCAATTATTCTACATACTCTTGGGGCTCACGTAACTCAGTGTGTGGAGCCTTTGTATACTACGGAAAGAGATTAGACCCACACTTGGGATCTAGCGGTTCTTGCAAATCTCAAGACCCCCACCATCACCGCCGGTCCTTCTCGGGAGCAGAGATATCGCTCTACCAATGCTTGAACGTTAGCAGCTGAAAGCGTCAAGGCCTTAGCAGCAGGGCTGATTTATGTGAGCCATGTTCAACAACAGGGCTACCGAGGCCATCAAGAGTCGGTATAGGGCTCATGTCCGTTTATTGCATAACCCTAAGGGTCCACGTACCTAATAATAATATACTTACCCAAAACCTATATTACAATTAGTATTACCCAAATCCCAAGTACCTAAATATTGGGTACATGAACCCTTAGGGTAAGCAATTTTGACTGTAGCTCTTAGCGCATCATCGGGGAGATTTAGCTCCGGAGCTCTACCACCTACTTTCACAGACTTTGAACCCTCCCTAAACCGGAAACCCTCCACTCCCCAAATTAACCCTCCCCCGACGAGGTCTTTCGAAGAGCATGACCACCAGTGCCACCACTAGCAACCACCAAAAAAAAGATGGACAGCCTAAACTCTAAAACCCTAAGCCCCTAAACCTCCAAACCCCTAAAACCCTAAACCCCCAAAACCCTAAACCCTAAAACCCTAGACCCTTAAACCCCAAAAACCTTAAACCCTAAATCCCTAAATCCCTGGAACCCTAAGCACCAAACCCCTTGGCCCAGCAGGAAACCTACACTCACGCCAGCTACAACTTCGAGCTGTGCCTCTGGCCTGGACAACTAAAAGTGACCTCACCCGACCTCACCCTAAATGGTGGTTTATCTAGGGAGTAGTACCAAAATTGCCTAAATGTATGTGAAATAATAGCCCTAACCCCGTAATAGCAGCCATAGGCCATTATTCTACATACTTTTCTGGTTCAGGTAGTACCAAAATCGCCTTAAATTGGGAATCAAATTACCCTGTAATCCCTGAACCCTAATTTGAGCCTTCAAAGCCCTACACCCTAATCCCTAAACCCTAACCTTAGATCCTAACCCGAAATCCTTGCGGAGTTAGGGGGCAAGTAACAGGATCTCTGTTCCTGTAGTCTCCTTAGTACGTAGTATTTTTGCATTTTATCATTGTTATAAAGGGTATTATAGGCTCAAGCGACCCATTCCTTCGTTCCTAACCAAAAAAGAGTTACAACGTCTGTGAAGGGGAAGTACCCAGAGAACCGTGCAAAGCCTTGACGGTTAATATTCTTCTAGAGCAGTCGCTTGCCCGTAGAAACCCAGCATAGGGTCTAGTGCTGGGGGCTTGCAGTTCGATGACGGTAGGCGGTTTTCAGAAATCTAAACTAGACCCGAACCGTACTTGTCTGGCGCAGCGGGTAAACCTAAATCCCCCTACATCCAAAACTCTTAAGCCTAAATCCTGTAGCCCATGTGAGCTACAGTCTGAACTCCTTAAAGGGGGGATATATAGCTGATTATATAGGGGAGTAGTATAGGGGTTATTCTTAAGGGGGATACTAGGAGTTTAGACTATAGCCCACGCGGGAGCCCAGCAGCCAGGCATCGGATGGGCGCTCCACGCCAAGGACTGGGGGTTCCTGGGTTTAGGGTTCCTGGGTAAAAGCTTCCCCAACATGGCCTGAATATAGCTCAAAAAGAGCCAGTGTAATTCCCTAGGGTTTGTTGAAAGGATCCCAAACCCAGGGGTTTAGGGTTTAGGGAAGCCCTAGACTAAGCTCTAAACCCTAGATACTAAGGGTACAAGCCTGAAGCCCTAAAAGCTAAACCCTGAACCCTAAACCCTTTGAAAGGAGCCGGAGACCTGTGGATGTCCTGGAAGCAGAAGCCCGTGGTACGTGGCCGGGTCCAGGTTAGTTGGTGTTTAGGGTTTTAGCGGGTTTTTTTATAGGGTGTTTACCGTGTTTTTGAGGGTCTAAGGGTTTAGGGCTTAGGATTCTTTACGGCCTTACACGGTTTATGGGGTTTGGGGTTTAGAGAGGTCCAGGTTAGTTGGGTGCTTAAGAAGGATGGGGCTTTGAAGAAGGTTTACGGCTTCTGAGATTAAGGTTCTAGGGTTTAGGGTTTAGTTTAGGGCATCGTTGTGCAGAATCAAATGGGAAGGAACATGACCGGTAATATGCAAACTGCGGTTATATCGGACTCATCTGGCCTCTGTTAACAAAATCAATCCTTATAGTAGTCCCTATATAACCCATTAAAATTGTTAAACCCTAACCCTAAACCCTAAACCCTAAAAAAACCTAAACCCAATAGATTAGTTTCCATTTTCTTTTCCATTCCTTCGTTCACAGCTAACCAAAGGAAGTCATAAGGTGCAGGGCCAAGGATCCCCTATACTTTCAGGGTTTTAGGGTTTAGGGTTTAGGGTTTAGGGGGATATGGGTTTTAGGGTTTAGGGTTTAGACTTTAGGGTTTAGGGGGGTATGATCCCCCTAAACCCTAAACCCTAAGCTGAACTTCAGGATCCTTTTGTGTTTGGGAAACAGGGACTACGTAAGTGGGTCCAAGGTCATCTAAGGCTGGAAGTATGGGACTTTTCGAGGGGTGCTTAGCTTGGTTGATGGATTCCAGGTTCTAGGGGCCCACTATCTTGCAAGAGGGGGTATTGATATACAATTTTGGAATCGGATATTGGGTGGGGTCTGGTCTGGATAGAGGAAATCTCGCACCAGCACACACTAAAACGTGAACCCAAAATCCCACACCCAGCGAACTGGAGTTGTCAGGCATCTGGAGTGGTGCAAGATTTCCTCCACCTTTTGAAGGTTAAGGGGGTCTAGGGTGCAGGGTGAGGTGGCGGGAGTGTTAAGCTAGTGCGAAAAGGGTGGGAAGTGGATCCTTGCTTGCAGTACAAGTTCCTATACTTGTCCCTCTGTTCAATCCCACTCTCCCCACTGTGAATACGATGCCCCTTGCCAAAGGACGATGGGTTGGACAACGTTCGTGGGGGTAGAACACTGTGGTATAAGCATAGGACAGCAATCTAAACCCTAATCCCTAAACCCAATGCTCGACATATGGATAGTTGTCAAAATTATGAGCCCTTTTTGGGTCCCCAATATAGTACGGCACCTAATATTTAGGGTACCCAAAAAGGGACCATAATTTTGACAATCACCCATATCAGCGTTGGTGCCGCTAGCATGCCGGGTCGATCAGAAGCCTGCGCACATACGCTCGCACACGTCACTGGGATTTGTTGCAGGGAGGAGGGGGGACGCCCGCAGGGGGATGCCCACAGGAGGAGGCGAGACATTTTTGCCCTTAGCGCCCATGGCCTGAGGCCTCAGGAAATGTTGGCAAACACTCAACCGTCCTCCGTCTTGTGCTTCGCATCTGCTATGAGAGATCAGGAGTCCGTGGAGGATGTGGATGCGGCTGTGTCCGAATCTTGTGATTTGGCAACCTCCAGGCGCTTCCTTGCCGTTCTGAGCGTTCTGAGCACACGTACCTTCACAGACAACAGGCAAGTCATCTTCTGGACCGGCTTGGCTTATGCCTTCCTGTGCGCCGTTCTGACCTCCTCACTGGAGGTTGGTGGTTGGTGTTGATCATGCAAAGCATTTTCAAGATTGCACTGAGATGGTCGTAGGCCGGGACCGCGCTGGTACTGGAGCGCCACTTTCACCTCACAGCGCAGTCAATCGGGTGCCTTTCTCGCAGCTAGCAGCTACTGTAGCCATGTCGCACGCTGTTTCTATCACAATCCGCAACAAAGATTATCAGGCTTTTGCTGGGTAGCGCCTTCTGCGCAGCGGCACCGCTCACGGCATCTTGCTTGCAGCAGCCAGCGCAAAGTTATGTTCGGTTGTAATGGCAAGTTGTATGTTGCTTGAAGAGTTGCAACTTTTCATGGCTCCCCAAGATGAAGTCGTCTTGATTTCAGCGAGGTGATGCTGAGCTGGGCTCTTCCAGCTGAGAGGCCAATGTTTTAACTGGTAACTCTTCCACTTGTTTCCGCTGTGATGTTTGGACAAACTTGGATGACTGCACCTGCGGACGTAAGCTGAGTATGTCTGAGCAGTCTTTTTCAGACCTGTTTGGGGGTTTCGTTGGTCGCCGGTTGTGAAGTGTCTGAGGGAAGCCTGGAAAAAACTTGTCTGGACCCTCACAGATTTGAGCTTGGTGGTTCAAATGACCCTTAAAGAACCCCAAACTGTGGAGTCCTTGAACACTGTGCTGTTCCAATTCAAATTTTGTGAAGGCAGAGCCATTGCTTCTGTGTCTAGGCAAGGCACTATCCTTACTTGGAGGGTCAGGGGACTTAGGAAGTAGGTTAATAACGGGGATAAGTAGGGTTACTATATGGGTTATGGGGGTTATTAACCTACTTACTAAGTCGCCCTGACCCTTCAAGTACTTGCAGGGAGACTGAGTTGTGAACGTTCCGGAGGCCATGGCCGGCCTGGGCTGCGGTGCCTCCGTTGATAGCCACTGCCCCTTGCTTGAAGCCTGAAGCGTGCATGCTTCAAGCACTGCAATGGTTCGTCTTAAATTCAAACATCGCCTTGTATGCTCAATACCCTACTTTGATGTAGTAGTGCCCATTTTCCTTTATCCCTATATAACCCCAATATATTCCCTACTTGTATGTATGGTCATTTGGTGCTAGCCTCCGGCAGAAGGCAGCTGAGCCATGTCTAGCTTGCAAATGCTTGCAACGGATCCACGAACATTTGTGTTTGCTGATTCTGGCTTGCTTCAGTTTTTTTTGGAATTTTTTGTAATAAGTAAGAGGAGTTTAACAGTAATAATTATTTGATAATAGTAACAGTAGTCTTAATAGTAATAGTAATACTAGGACTAATCGTAAGAAGAGTAATAATGGTAATAGCAATACCATTGTGTAAGCTGCTATGCAGCGACTGTGCTCGAATACTCTTTTGCCTGTGAGGTTCTTCTATTCAAAGGCCCATACGCTCTCCTGGGTCTCACTGAACTACGCCTCTACGCCGTGTGCCCCGCCTGTGGAAAGAGTTGGTCAGCTGATGATGTTCAAGTTTTTTGCACTGCTTGTTGACCAGGAAGATGCCTATACACGCGAAAGTTTCATATTTAGGGTTTATAGAGGTAGAATATAGGGGTTATATAGGGATAAGGGAAAAGAACATGGAAACTACTATAGTGAGTTACATAGGGATTAGGGTTTAGGGTTCATCGTCTAGGCTCGCGGCTGACGTCGTGCTCTTCTCCATAGCTCTCTGTGCCAACGGTGCGGCTACTGAGCTGAGGAGTTCTGAGGCAAGCGCAGCCAATGGGTACTATTTAGGGGTTATGTAGGGGATATATAGAGATAATGGAAAAGAAAATGGAAAATAGTATATGGGGATATACATTAGGGTTATATTAGGGTTATTAATAGAGATAATGGAAAAGAACATGGAAGCTACTCTTTAGGGGGTAGACCTGCCAAGCAGAGCGCAGTGTCCTGGAGTCCTGGAGCTTTGCGCTTAGGTTGATGCTGCCGCCTTGCAGCACATGGCTGGTGGTACGAAACTATATTGTCTGCAGCTGAGTTCTACCATATCCCCAAGTAGTTTCCACTTTCTTTTGCATTATCTCTATTAATAACCCTGGTATAACCTTAATGTATATCCCCATATACTATTTAGTAGTTTCCATTTTCTTCTCCATGATCTTTATGTATCCCTACATAACCCCTGAATAGTACCCATTGGCCTCCTTGTACTTCTGCCTTCGTTCTCTTAGGCCGAGAAAACTACATTATTGCTGCGGCTACACTTCGAGCAGCGACTTGCCAGCAACTCGGTGAGGTAAGAAAATCCGTAGAGACTCACATGCAAGGCTGGAAGCTTCGCTGGCCCTCCTGCAATCCGGATTCTGGCTTCCTATGGCGAGGCATGAAACTGCATCCAGTCAGAGCAAATTCAAAGGCACAAGCGAGATATTTGATTCAGTGGCGGAACAGCAATTCCATGCAAAAGCACGCGCTCTTGCAGGAGACTGGTGCGGCTGCTTGGCAAAACTTGGCAGCAGATGCGTGGGCACGAAGTGGTTGGCTGCATGCTTGCTTGTCCTGCCTTCATGCTTAAGATACCAGGCAAGTCAACTCTAGCAATCTCCATTCTTGGGCCATGCGTTTGTCACATCCAGTGCCTAGAAGATATCGCAGAAAGCATGCAGCGGCTGCCTGCAAGTGGTGAGCTTTCCACGGAGCATTTGTAGCTGCGGGCTTGCTGAAGGTCATGCAGCTTGCCGTGGTCGTGCGACTTGGAAGGAGACAAACAGCTGATTTTGCTTCCCAAGACTTCGTCGAGTAGCACGACGAGGGCACGTGAGTGATGGGAGTACGGGCCTGCTCAGGCTAGCTTTTGCATGCGCAGCGGCCATCAAATACCTGGGCGCCTGGCTTCATGATACAGCTGCGAGCCAAGACAGAGTTGCTGTTCTCTTGCGGCGTGTGTGTTGGGATTAATGGTAGCTTCTCCCGTCAGGATATTAGCCACGAGGAAACAACAATGATAGTGTGGCATTCGGACAGGCAGAGCATAGTTTCATACCAGGGTGGTGGACTTGTAGTTTCAATTTCATCTCTCATGTTCTTTTCCATTTGCTTGTGCATCATTCTTATAATGCTGGTAAAGTTGTTGGGGCCTCAGAGAGGTGGCTTTGTTGAACTTAGGAGGCAGACCTACTGGCGGCTCAATGCCGCCTGAAAGACAAGGCCACCCCCCGGCAGTAGTAGCAGTTGTGATGGATTTGCTGTTCGGCGCCTTAGCCACAGCAAACACATCCAATGCTTGCTGTGAAGATGCTCGATGTTGATCTGCCAGCAATACCACATTCATTGGTGGATGTTATGCAGCAGAACAGCAAAATGCCAACCCGTGCATCTCACCAGGTCGTCTCCCAGCGTGAGTGAGACATAGCATGAAGTTGGAGGTGAGCTGTTGCTGTCATCCTTCCTGAAGCTTTGTGCTACAGTCATGACAAGACTGCAGCGTGCCAACATGGCAATTGCTGTGGCTACATATGCGGTAGAGTGCGCGCATGCACCATCGCTGGTTCCTTAATGCCTTGCAGAGCAAGGGATCGGAACTTGAGGGCTGGATCCCCAAATGGCGACCAAGGATTCAATCTTGCTTGGTAGCTCAACTTCCAGACATCTTCAAAGATGGCGGGAACTCTGACTCTAATCCCAGGTTGTCATTCGGTGGCATTGAACGCAAAAGAGAGATTCGTGTGCACAAGCGCCAGGGTTCCTTCAGCAGTTGTGCAGGTGCTGCAATGGTTAGACAGTGATTCACTTGGATGATGCAAGTCTATCATGGGACCTGGGGGGGGGGGTCAGCCGATATCAGGCAACCTGACCATTTGCCAGATGCTTTCACAGCTTCGTGATAGGCAAGCTTCATGACATCCTAATGTGGCTTGTTTTCAGACACTGCAACTGGGCCTGAAGTGGTCAACCACTGCCGCGGAGCCTCAGACCAATGAAGCCTGCAGAAAGTCTTCACGGATTCCCTCCGTTTTAATAGTTTCCATTTTCTTTTCCATTATCCCAATATAACCCGAATAAAACCTCCAGTATAACCCTAAACCCTAGTTGATTCCCGCGGAGATTGAGGTGGGTCCTGGCGTCAGAGATCACTCCCGAGAAGCCAGAGGCATAAAGAGCAATGTGGAATGCCTTCGCTTGGCTACTTTTGAGTTCAAGTATGTGTAAGGCAGTCACACGCTGACTCTGACGTTACAGGCCTATCATTTCTATGTGACTTTGCCAGCTGGGTCGCGCCCTAATCTGCAGTGTGGTTGGACTGCTTCAAGGATACATGCATTACGTCATTTCGTCTGCATTGGCCGGAATGTTTGCGCATACTGCACAGAATTGTGCAAGAACATGATGCTTCTAGACCGGCCAGCTGAAGACCCTGGACCTGATCGCCAGGATGGAGGTGGAGATTTTCTGAGCTGGATGGAGATGAAGACCGTCTCTCAACAATCACATCATGCAAAGTTCTAGCGACGGTCCTTGGTATCAACCACAAGCAGGTGTCCGGTCAGCAATTTCTGCGCCAGACAGTTGCCAAGTTTCACGGGGTCAAAGATCCCAAGGTCCTTCCGTCTCGCTTGAGGCACGCATGAGATGCTAACTATTGGAATGCAAAAGAGCGCAGCGTATGAATTTCTGCGCAGCTCATGGCGATGGCTGACGGGGCTGGGGATCTCTGCAACTTGTTGCTGGAAGCGATAGCCACTCGTATAGCAGGCATTGGCATTTCAAGAAACATTGCCAGAAGGCTGCAAGCGGTTGAGCGTTTACCAGCACGAACTGACCGAAAGAGGAAACCAAGCGCGCAGGCATGTATGGAATCAACTGAGGGGTCAGCGCGTAGAAGGCGTAATTCCGCGCTGCACTGGGGCCCAGCGTAGGCCCGCGAGGAACGTGGGCCTGCAAAGATCAGATGCCCAGACGTCCTGCGGAGATCCCGCCAGACGATGAGTGGTCACAGGACTGCATGGGCTCCGTGCAGAATGACGGAAATTGGGTGCCTTGTCCCCAATATAACCCCTATAATAACCTTAATATTACCCCTATATAACACCTATTATCATATGGAAGTTTCCATTTTATTTTCCATGATCCCCATATAACCCATCTGAACAGGAGGCAGCCAAGACCTTTTGGTGGGGCAATTGGAGGGCCTGACGCCCAGCATCTCCAAGGTGCTTGACTACTACTATTATAGTATATTGGGGCTATATTGGGATAATGGAAAACAAAATGGAAACTACTATAGTATGGGTCTATATATAGGGGTAATGGAAAAGAAAATGGAAACTACTATAGTATATTGGGATACTGGAAATCAAATGGAAACTACTATAGTACTATTACCATTGATACTGCCTAGGACCCAAGCAACTGTTTGTTCCCCTGGCTTTATGCAGATGGGCAGCCCCGCTTGGGCCTCAGCACAGAACATGTAGAGCCTTCGAGCAGTCAACAATTAAGACGGTCCGGATGACTTGCTGAACATGCTGGCAGTTTGGAATTTTCTTGAAGAAGACGTAAGGTCCAAATTATCCAATGAAGGCAGCCGCCTGCACACATGCTGCAGAGAAGCATTGGCATGCAACTCACGCGTGAGCATGGAACCCTTCACGCAGCATTGGCATGTAGTGCCGGGGAGGGGGGGGCGGGGCGGCCCTAAAATTGTCGCATAGTCAGGATGATTGGGGAGTGCAACCATTTCCTGCCTGCAGCTGAGAAGTGTGCTTCTTGGTGTTTGCCACCAGAAGCAGTGGACCTGAGGTTGATTATGATTCCGAGTGGGCGCGGGGACGCCCGCAATGGGAGGCACATGCTAAATTTCAGACTGTCACGACAGTGCTCCAGCAGCGTAGCAAGGTATATTTGGATGCCTATGACGCTTGGAATCGAGAGACTTGCCGGTTGATCGAGGTGTACAAGCGCAAGGCATTCGTTCATTGAGTTTCACACCATTACGAAAATCGGTTAGTTAGCTACGTGATGGTTGATGGAGATGGCCAAGTTCCCGGGGAGGTGGAAGAGCTCGACTATGAAGAAAGTGTCGAGGCGTACAACGGCTGTTTTCGTGTTGTTAGCTGATTGAACTTTTGCACGGCTAACCTGCTTGAAGCTGCGTTTGACTTGCGAGGCATTTCGAGTCTGTATTATTTCCAACGGCATGTTTCATATTGTTTGAAAATGTTTGAAAGATCGCCCAGGTCTACGAAGGAAAGTTCCCCGATGTGCCTGAATACCCTGAGGTGCACGTACCAAACTTAGCAAAGCAAGAAGATTGCTTCCCTTGCCTTTGATTCTTTACAGCCCAAACGCAAAGAGACAGCGTCTAAATTAACGTGATGTTTGCTCTCATTGAGGCCAGCGTGCTTATCGCAGCTGCAGAACCGGATGTTGTCGTCAGGGACCTTGTGCACAGGGCTTTGGACACTCAAGTAGGTTTAGCCTTTCGCGTCCATCAGTTGCAACATGAAGGGAGGTGTTGCACCTGCGGCGCACTTTGATCAGAGCGCGCGGCTCTGTGCCAATGAGGCTCTTGCGGATGCCTTGGAAGATCCAGACAGCGATCCCAATTGCAAGGATGATCCACAGAGTGTTGTGATTGGCCTGCATATACCCATACATTTGAACGTGTTTGTTTGGCAATCAGCTCTTGAGGCTGAAGGCATGTTGTGTCTGCAACATGAGATTGCCAGGACTGCGGACTATGGACACCTTTGATGTATGCAGCAATGGCTGGCAGTCTTGAGTGCGTTGAGTGCGCAGACATGTAACTTGTGACACTGCCTCCCCTCCAGCAAGCTGACCGTGCGCTTGCTTTCAGGTATCTTGTGGACAACGGTGCCGACCTTGATGCACGCAACAACCTTCAGGCTAGCAATGCGTCAGCCACTTACCTTTATGGACTCACCTGGGGTGTTAGGACACGGCCTATGACATTGCCATACAGGCATTTGCCAAGAAGCAGCTTCGCTCTCAGAAGCAATCATGTCGCTGGCAGTTTGGCGCGTGCCAACCCATGATGTAAGGTCTGACCATCCAGTGTTGCGCTTCCTTTGCCAGGACAATCCATGCATTTTGGGAAATTCAAATGTGATTGGGCGGCCTGCTGTCTCTAAGGTCATTGCTCATAGATCTCTTGCCAGACAGCCCTAAAAAGGTGTTGTAACTTGCCGAGCATCAGGGGAGTTTGGATGACGATCAACGGTCAACCCGAATCAGACACAATCGCAGTTGCTTGGTTGCAGACAGGCAGGTGCGCCACGAGGAGCCGGCTGGAGGGCAAGACTGCTGGCATGAGGGCTGCAAAAATGGGTGTGGAATGCTAGAGCAGCCATTGCTTAAAGTGCTTTGAGTGAAGTTGCATTCTATGTCAGTTGTCCTAGGCACCGGTTGTTGTCATCGATGTTCAGATCCTGTTTTGGTATGTAGTACCACAGAATGCTTTGTTCAGAAGGTAGAGAGTGGGCAGCGTTGAGGTCATGGTGCTTGAATGTGTGATCATTGCAGGAAAGGCCTGCTACCAACACCACGTTATGCTGATCCATTGTTTTGGGCCAAGCGCAGCAGGCAGTTTGTGATTGCCACGGGCTAGGCTAGAGGAAAATCCCTCGCAGTTGTTTGATTTGGCAACTTCCTACCTTGACCGCTCAGAGATTGCATTATGAGAGAAATGCAACTTAGTGTCCAGCTTTTCAGAACAACTGAATCGGGCTAATGGCTTGGAGAGATGGACCTCAAGCTGATGCCGTGCTGTCGGAGTCCCTTGTTCTTTTGTCAGTCAGTTTTTTGGGCCACTTCATGTGGCAGTGATGGTAGGATTATTCCAGGTGATGGCTTATGGTGGCCAATCTTGAAGGGCTTGATTTGGTAATTTCCCAAAATTAGGGGTACCTTTTTGGGGGTACCCAGAATGAGGACTATAGTATATTGGGGTCTATATTGGGGCCCCCTAGTTTAGGAAACTGCCATTTTCTGAATACGTCACAGGTCCTGGGTGGCTGTCATTTTGACGACAGTGTTTTCGTTTCATTGGCTCATCACACGGTCCAGCTGCGCTCTCGGCTTCCAGAGCAAGATCACCAAAAAGGCATGCCCACTCACTACGCAAGGGTTGCAGGCGCGGCCTTGTGTAGAAACCTGGGTTTCAGTAGAGGCACATGTTGGTCCAGAGTTGAGGATTGTGCTGGCCTCATGTGACTCAGGAGCACACGGAAGAGTTGTGCGAGCTGGATCACATATTTGCCCGATCGTGGTTCCTTGCTTGCCGTTACCTTGTTCATATTCACTTGCTTCCGCTTTGCGGCGGAATCCTTCAGTTTCAGCGGCAGCAGGACCTGCTTGGTGCTGTATGGCTCGTATTGCTCTGGCTGGCGTACGGTGTTTTTCTGCTTGTCTCCAGCAACGTCTTGCAAGCAACGCCGAAGAACGCCAGGTTCACCTGCAACATCATCTATGGTGCTGTCCTGGGATGTTTACTCGCTAGTGGCGGGGAAAGCAAAGATAGCTACGTGACCAGAAGGGACTTCCTCATGCGGTGTCAGATCATTTTGGCAGTGGTGTTTCCTGACCGCGCCGTCCTGCATCCACATGCCATCATATTCCTTGCAGGCTATGTTGGGACAACCGTATTGGCTTGCGGCTTTGATGGTGTGGGTGTTTGGTTCTGGGAGCAACAAGCCTTCCAGATCATCTTGACTTGCGTCATCCTCCCCACGGTGACCGTAAATATCCACCGGGAGCGCATCGAAGCTTTCATCAAAGCAGAGAATTCTGATTCGCTAGTGTGCCATGCCAGCAAGCCTGCAACGCAGGTCTCGTCACTAGTAAGGTTGGATAGTCACAGGCCAGCCTTCAGACCATTATAAGACTTGCTTGTTTTTTGCTGTCTTCACCTACCCGAAAGTATTCTTACTGTATCAAGCTGGGCTTCCTTTGGTTCAGGTTCGTTTGCTAACTGAACCTGCCCCTGCCACAGGTCAGCATTTCGTTCAATGTTGAAAGGCGTGTGCGATTGCAACTTGCTGTTAGACAGCAATGCCCACATTTGTGGAACTTCCACTGGCCTTCAGCGGCTCCTCGGGACGCAGGAAGACTTGACAGGCAGAAAGTTTTCGGAGTTCATTGTTGAGGATAAGCGATACATGAAGCTGGAGGATTTTCTGGTAGAACCTACCGCAAGTGGCGGCAATGATCACGCAACGCCCCGATGCATGCGTGTGGCTTTGAAGGGTTCGGGGCGGCATGTTCCTGTGGATGTTTTCCATGTGTCGCTTCCCAAGCGCTCCACCAGCCTGGGCAGTTCGTCAGACTGCCATTTATTGGCACTGACTCTGGGTTGCTGTTAAGGAACCTAAATTAAGTTACTATATTGGGGAGACCCTATTGTGTACTATATATACCCATTATGGTAATTAATTGAAGTTCCTTAACAGCAACCCAGGATTGAGGATGCGGACGCCCGACTCAAAGCTGAAGTCGAGCCGAACACTCGCCGGCCCACAAGCTCGTATTTGCAGGTGCAAGGGTTTCCTGGTCACCATGCATCCGACTGTCAAAGCAGCACTTGCAGCGAAGTCGAGGTTTTCGAAGAGCTGTCCCAGATCACACTTCTACTAGATTGCAGCACCGAGCTTTTTGACATTTCGGAGGCACATTTGCGGTTTTCGCGAGTAACGAACCAATCTCAGATGAAGCTTGGCATGCCCACCTTGAAGAGATTTGTCCGTCCTTTGGACTGGCCTGCATTGAAGACGAAGCTGTTCCACTACGCGTCCGCGGTGACAAGGCCGCAAGCACTTTCTCCTGTAATGCTTCGATTGCCCGGTGAACCCCGGAAGTACTTGCGTGCAAGGGGCGTATCGATCAAGTCTGTCTTCTCTGGCTTCCGGCCTCGGGCACAACCCACCTATCTGCACTTGACGCTGAACAAATTCCAGAACGCGCAAAGGCAGATGTCCAGCCGTCCCATGGAGGGAGTGCATGAAGACCCCTCAGAAGACCAACATGCAGGAAGTCAATGCAGCTGCTCGTCACACGCAAGCTCCTCCAGCGCCGTTGGGTGAGTTTTTAAGTTGAAACAAATACATGACTTCAACGTGGTGGGCTGCGTACTTTGTGTCGCGGGAGTGGTTTGAAATCTTCCCATCAACATTTGCGCAGCCTTCTTGGGAGTTGACATGAGCCGATACCGTACCGCAACAAGTATGGCAGAGGCAGGATCAAAAACGGGCTTGGCTGTCTTTGTGTGGGGATCTTCGAGTTAGCCGGGCTCAGGTCTAATTAGTCTAGACCATAGCCGAAACATGTTGCAGTCCGCTTTGGTCTATTTGGTCCATGTTTGCAGTCGTGACACAAAAAGGCACATGATGCTTCCATTCCGATTAGCAGAGTCCCACATGTTTTGTGCATTGTGTATGGTGCGCTGCTTCTCTCGGCACGTTTGATGCAGGAGCCTGTCAGTCCAAAGTGACTGAAGTTGTCTAAGTTGACACAGCAACAGTCTTAGCTCAATCAAAGCACATCAAGCCCGACCTAGCAAAGTATTAGCAAAAGCTTGCCAACTACTATTACACTCAAGATCACGAAAGCAACAACTCTTAGAACAGCGACGTCCATCGCTGATAGCTTTCCGACTTTACGTTTTCGCGGTGGCCTGCTTGCTTGGTCTTCCGCTATGCAAAGCCTAGCCCCATGCGTTTGTTTGCAGCCTGCCATTTGCTCCTTGGCTTGTGCGCGGCAGATTGGCGCCGCTTGCTTCGTCGAGCTCCGCCCAAGCCTTACCTACCAGAACTACATGCAGTGCAGGGCAGGCATCCTGAGACAGCTCTGTCCTTAGAAGTCAATGAACTCGCCAGGCTTGCTGCTCAGCAGTGTTTCCTATGCCTCGGCTTAACATTCACAAGCTGCAGTGTGTAGTTTGGAAGGCCGTTGTGGGCGTGGGCTTTGCTGGTTAGTAGCCTGCTGACGGGTAGACATTATTAGACATTGCTACGCTAGGCAGCCGGTTACAAGCGTGCCTGTCCGAGGCATGCTGTTGCAGTGGACGAGGAGAAGAGCCTCATGCCGGAGAATAGTTATCAGGTGGAAAACGCTCTAGAAGATATGGCAGGCATTATGTCGCTCAAAAGACTTGCTGACCTACATTTCTCGCAACTGCTGCGACTTATCCAGCATGCGGACGTGCAACATCTCATTTGAAACTATGCTTGCACCTGCCGGGACACTCTAAAGGTAGTAGTCCAGCCTTTGGTTTCCAGGCTGATAGTTGATTTGGAAGAACGCATTATCCATGCCTTCAGGCGAAGTCCAGCCTGAGCTCCTGTGGAATCGCCACATTCGGCTTGGTTCGGACGAGGTGGCTTGCAGCACGCGTTCCAAGTCCATGCTTCCGAACATGTGAGTCATCATGCACAACCTGCTATGCCCGTTGCATCCCGCTGCGGCAAAATTGCCCAGAGGCTACCTGCCAGCTTACTACCCCACGGGTTGGCCGTCGAGAGGCGGCCCGGCGCGAGGCTCGACTGGCTGCCCGGCCGCTCAGAAACTTAAAAGGTTGCTACGAGTAGCTGAGAGGTAGCAAACCCCGAGCGCGCATTGAGCCCAAGAAAACAAGCGCCTGAACTTTGGCCTCGCTTGTGCATGCTGTGATTGTTTGATGGGATCCTGGTGTCAGCGCTCATCGCCAGAGACCTGGAGGGTGTGTTTTATTTGAACCTTCTTATCTTGCGAAGATACATCTCCCATTCTATAGGCTCGGTGGGCGCCTTTGCGACATCGATGCCATTCCTGGCGTAGATCCGAGGACGTGATAGCACACGCAACTTGGATTTCGGTGCTGTGCTAGTGCCCACAATGCAGAGGTTCCAGTTCTGGCTTTAGCTTGCCACATGCTTTGAATCGGCAGTCATCCGTAGCCATACCGTATTCTAAATGAATCCGATGAAGGCCTGCCAAAGTCACTAGATCAAACTTCAATGCCCCATTGAGATCTTGCGCACGTCAGATTGGTCCTACTTTCACTCTCAACATAAGCCCTATAGAACCCCAGTTTCCATTTCATTTTCCATTTTCTTTTCCATTTGATTCTCCATCATTGGGGTAATATTGGGTACCATATAATCCCTGTAGTTTCCATTTTCTTTTCCATTATCCCATTATAACCCCAATATACTATAGTAGTTTCCATTTTATTTTCCATTATCCAACCCTAAACCCTAAACCCCTGTTTTGACAGGATTTTCCGGGTCCTGTTTCGATCAGCCGCCGACCTCCGTGGGTTTATCGCAGCCTCGCTGAATCATGATATGGGGGGTTTTCCAAAAATAAGGGGGTACCCTTAAAGGGGGATATAGGGATTCTATAGGGTTTAGGGTTTACGGGGGTTTTCCAAAATTAGGGGTACTTTAGGGTATAATGGAGAATCAAATGGAAAAGAAAATGGAAAATGAAATGGAAACTGGGATTATAAGAGGGATTATAAGGATTAGGGTTTTCCAAAATTAGGGGTACCCTTTTGGGGGTCCCAATAATAAGGATTATAGTATTTGGGGCTTTACATTGGGATCCCCTTGTTTTGGGAAACTACCATATTTGTTAGAATTTCACACGGTAGAGTCCAACAAGCATCGTTTGGAAAGCCAGGCATCTGCTTCTCGACAGAGGCTGTGGCTATTGCCCCATCGCCCTGGTTGGACCGCTGGGAGTTAGGCAAGGATAGGGGATGAGGACGACTTGGGGACGGAAGGGGTTCTTGCTTGTTCGAACTGAAGCCTGCAAAATCTTGCTTGCTTGTTGGTTACCACGTGGACACCGTTATTCGGCTCTGAGGGGTTGCACATCCAAGCCGGTCAACTCAACCAGAGTGCGGTAGGACAGGGTAGCATATGCTATTCCTACGAATTCCATGGTGTATTTTCCAGCGGGTCGCCACAGAGTTCAAGCCTCAAGAACTCGCTGACAGGCTGGTACAATGAGAGTTTGGATGAATATCATCCGAACGGTTCAGTCACACTGCACTATGTGACTCTCACTTGCAGAAGTCATGCACATGTTCATGAAAGATGGTAAAGTCCGGTCTTCCATGCCATAGGTGCTGTGCTTTTGGCATTCATGTTGATGCAAACTTGAGGAACGGCCTCACGCGGCGAGAACTGGCAGTAAACTGCCACTGCGGAGTAGGCAATATTCAGTCTCGACAGCAGTCCCAAGAGACAGAAAGAAACAAGAACGCACTGTCGCAAGATAAGTGCAAGTGTGTTGGACCTTGTGACTGAAGATTTGCCATGCAAGCTTTAATGTGAAAGCAATGAGGCGGCTTCAGAGGATTGAAGCAAAAATCAGTGTCGGCTTTTGCACGCATTTTTCGCAATGGTGCATGATGCTGGCCAGAGTTTGGCTGTTTGGCAGTTCCTTTGCGTCAGGTCCATCCATCTCTTCTTGGACAGGAGATGAAGGCTGGGAGACTTATTGATGCAGTGACCTTAGTGTTTCCCTCACCCGGACAGTGTGCACTTGATGTTGGCAGTTGAAACGTGCATCATGATGTCATGGCAGAATCTAACTGACACCTGAAGTGGCAACAGTCATCAGTCACATCACAAACTGGCTTGGGGACCAACCTGCCAGTGCCTTGACGGCAGTCCTATATACTTTCTCTGCAGTAAGCAAATTGCCTTTGCCTGAGATAGCAATCACACGATGGAAATCAGACTGCCCAGCTACTTGGCATGCAAGAGTCAATTTGAGTCAGGCTGTGTTTCCCTAAGGGTCCAAGGACCCAAATAATAGGGTTTTAGGGCCCAAATACCTTAAATATTAAAGGTATTTAGGCCCTAAAACCCTATTATTTGGGTCCTTGGACCCTTAGGGTTTCCTTGTCTTTGGGTACGGTAATGGTAGTTTCCCAAAATAGGGGGACCCCAATATAGACCCCAAAATACTATAGTCCTTATTATGGGGACCCCCAAAAAGGTACCCCTAATTTTAGGAAACCCCCAAATGGTTTCATCCTTCATTGGAGCCTTGCGTGGTGCGCCAGTTGACGTGGCGTGAAACCTGTTGGAAACCTTTTTTTGCAATGCCATGGGAGAGCCACTGAACTACCAAGTTTAGGGTTTAGGGTTTAAGGTTTAGGGTTTAGGGTGCCATGGGAGAGCCACTGAACTACCAAGTTTGGCCACTTCCATACATAGGGTGACCCTTACCGGTCAATATGAAAGGTCCGGAACAAGGGCGAGCGCACATCCCGATCCAGACCCCCATTCAGAGCTCCGGATCAAGTCCTCAAATTCCGTTCCAGACGCCTCCATTCCAGACCAACGAATGCAATATCTCAAAATTCACATTGCGCTGAGTGTCCGTTCCGTGCCCGTTCCATACCCGTTCCAGACCAAACAAAGTNNTCACTTGTGGGAACCAGCAAGAGTCAATCATCGTTCCAGACCCTCCGGATCAAGTGTGCCATCCAGACCCTCCGGATCAGCCAGCATAGGAACGCGCGCGCGGGGCACATGGTTCTGACAGAAACAGTCATCAGCATTTTCATGATCGAGCTGGTTCAGCCATTGCCGCAAAGGTTGTTGCAAGCTTCAGGAAGACGATGCAAGGCCAAAGTGGCTTGGTTCTGGTTGGCGGGCTGCTAAAATTTGGCGGAAACGGCAGGTATTTGTGGCCCGGCGAGCCTAGTATTGAATCATCAGTTCGACATTTGGTGTGTCAAAAGTACCAGAGTGACAGCGCCCTTGATTCAGCTCGCCCAAGCAATGACGGGATTGTCAATATGATATCCCTATACTCTGATAGAGGCCCGGTGTCCCATTTCATTTTCCAGTTGGTTTTCCGTTTGATTCTCCACCAGTGCTGTAAGATAAGTACAACATGTCCAAGGTCTCCAGCAGAGTCTTTCCATTGGCTTGCTTCACCGCTACCTCGACTGGTGCCTCCGGCCGAAAGCGATAATTCTAATTATGGGGACGAAGCCCAAAAGGAACACCTGATTTTCGGAACCTCCATATACGGAAACTTGTGACACATTGTAACACGGGAGTGCCCACTTTCCCTCCACAAGAAGGTCGCAGATGTCAAGGGTCGGGATGGCATGTGCTGTTTGTTTTTTGCAGCTAGTTATGTCATTTCTTCGGATTTCGGTGCCATCTCTACAATTCGCATTGCTCCATGATAGCATCTACAGGATCAGGTTGGAATCTGACCAGACTGCAAGACGGGCAGGTTCAGCAATCTTCCCACTACAAATCCATGTGGCACTATCAATGCTCGTTTGCTGCTGGGGTTTGCTGTGCAAGGAACTGCCATGCCTGGCTCTTCGACGTGGGCATTGGGACTTTCGCCTTTGCTTTGATGGAAACCTGACGCAGGCCAAGGGCAACATGTGGCCTGAAGACTTCCGGCCCGAACCAAACACAATCGCAAATGGGAGCAAGGCCCAAGAGATTCGCAGGTGAGGTGACAGGGGACACAGGGATGTTGGAATCCAGAACGCGCTCTGTTGAGTGTACGACAGTGCATAAAGATCTGAGCCTGCAAAGAGCAAGCTCGAAAAGACCAGATGCTTTGCAAGGTGAATCTCAGCCGGTCGCCCGCACACAACTCGAAGGCAAGTGTATCCGGGAATGGTCCGGAACTTGTTGTTTGCAACGGAGCACACAGTTCCAGCTGTGAAGGCTGCTGTTCTCCTTGGTGGCCCGGTTTTGGGCGAGGCACTGAACCGATAGCATACCAAGCAGACCAGTACCCATGCATCCCACAGCGAAAGAGCCTCGTTAGAGCTGCGTGTAACATGTAATCTTGGATTAGAAAGCAGGCCCTTCATCATTGGACTGTCAGGTGAATCTTGTGCCAGCTGAGCCCGCCACGCGAGGGCAGGCGGTGGTAGACGATGGCTTTAATCCCAGGACACTCAGTTCCCTTTGACTTTGTAGATGTGCTGAGAAGGAGGCGGGCAAGTACGTAAAATCTGTCAGTCAGAGCTCAGAATCTGATCAGGGCTAAGCAGAGGCCTTTCATTACCATTACCATTACCACTACCATTACTACTATTCCTACCCGTATTGTTGCGTTGCTGCGTTGCTGTGGCCTCTGTGCCAAGGCCCTTCCGGTGCAGATCCATCCTTGGTTGCCTCTGCTGCGGTGCCTGCCCAGCCCCTTGCCAGCAGGAATAGTAATTGAAATAGTAGTAGGGATAGTAGTAGTACTAGTATAATAGTTATAGTACAATAGTAATAGTAACAGTATGATAGTACTGGTAAAATAGTAACAGTATAATGGTAATAGTAATAGCAGTAGTAAACACTTGCGCATCTCCGGCCCAGATCGCCTCTGGCACCCGGGCAATTCAGCAAAACTGTCTAAACTCCTAGTATCCCCCTTAATGAGTTTAGACTATGGCTCATTCAGCAAAACTGTCAGGCTTGCAGAGGCTTTGGCGAGGCTTCGGGGCGCAGGCTCTGCTTTGGAGACTGGGTTGCTGTTAAGGAACTTAAATTAAGTTACCATAGTGGGTATATATAGTAAATAATAGGGTTTCCCCAATATAGTAACTTAATTAAATTAAGTTACCATAATGGGTATATATAGTAAATAATAGGGTTTCCCCAATACAGTAACTTAATTGAAGGTCCTTAACAGCAACCCAGGAGATGGTGCTGCAAAGTGGCGAGGCGCAGTGGGGCCTTTTGTGGATCGCCGTTGAGGGCCTTTTGCGCAAGCGTATGCAGGCGTTTTACCCCCACGAAGATGTGTTAGTTTCCCCAAATAGGGGGACCCCAATATAGACCCCCAAATACTATAATCCTTATTATAGGGATCCCCAAAAGGGTACCCCGAATTTTGGGAAATCCCCAGATGTACCTTTTCTAATTTCAGTGCAGCTTGGGAGGCTTGCTTCGGCACAGAAGGCAAGGAGCACCAAGCCCGATTGAGGCCGGCGGCCACCTCGGAAGTCTACATGAGCCATAATCTAAACTCCTTAAAAGGGGTTGCTGTTAAGGAACTTAAATTAAGTTACCAAAATGGGAAGCGTTCTTTTCTCTTTTGCGCAAATGTTGGGCTGTTTAGCACATACATGCACCTACCACATCCAGAGCCATGGACACAGCGACTGTGCCTGCACGAAACACGGTCGTTGGATACAACAAGGCCATTTCCGCTTGTAGGCGATGCCGCGATTGGCAGCAGGCTTTGGTGTTACTGAGCCAAATTGGGAAGAGCCGTTTGCAAGCAGATGTGATCACGTACAACTCCTCCATAAGCACCTGTGAGGCAGTTGGTGAGTGGCAAGTGGCTTTGCATTTGTTTGAGGAGTTGAGGAGAAGCGTGCTTCAGCCAGATGTCATTACATATAATGCAACCATCAGTGCCTGTGAAAAGGGGGCTGCATGGTCAGAGGCCCTGCGAATTCTGTTCGAAGTACCCGCAGCCCAACTGCAGCCCGATATCATCACTTTCAACGCAGCAATCAGTGCTTGTGAAAAAGCAAGCCAGTGGCAGCAGGCCTTGTTGCTTTTGCATGGTCTGCATACAGCTCACATTGAGTCGGACGTCATTACATATGACGCCGCGCTCAGTGCCTGCGAAAAGGCTTGTGCCTGGCGTCAGGCCATTAATCTGTTGGCTGAGATGTGGATATCCGATCTAAAGCCAGATATTATCACCTATAACTGTGCAATCAGTGCCTGTCAGGGGGGCCTATGGAAGCTGGCATTGTTTCTTTTAAATGAGTCTGAAGACATGGCCTTGCAACCGAACGTGGTGACCTTCAGTGCAGCTGTGAAGGCTTGCAGCCAAAGCTCCCGTTGGCAACAAGCTTTGCTGCTGGTGTCGGACATGGGCCGTGTAGAAGTGTTGCCCAATCTAATAACTTATATATCTGCCATCAGCGCCTGTGAGCGAGCTGCTGAGTGGCAGTGGGCAATTCTTATGTTGGGAGAAATTCAACCGAGCTGTGTGGCTTCAGAGGTAGCAGCCACGAACGCGGCCATCAGCGCCTGCGAGAAAGCAGGTGCATGGCAGCATGCGCTGGTATTGTCAGGTCAACCATGGGTGAATGGGCTGAGGTCGGACGTAGTTACGTCGAATTCGTCTATCGCAGCCTGTGGCCGTGCCGCAAAGTGGCAACTCTCTTTCATGGTTCTCGGATCGCTGGATGCCTTCGCCACGAAACCAACTTTGGTGACGTTCAACTCTTCCATCAGTTCCTGCGAGAAGGCCGCGGAGTGGCGGTCAGCTTTGACGCTGCTTGATGAGGTTTGCCAGGCATGGCTCTTACCGGATGTCATAACATACAGTGGGGCCATAAGCGCTTGTGAAAACGACGCCCAGTGGCTTCAAGCCATGTTTCTGTTGTGCCGTTGCGCTGCAAGACAACTTCAGGCAGACGAAATTGCACATAATTCGGCCATCAGTGCCTGTCACGCCGGAGAATGGCAGCAGGCCCTGGCCCTTCTCCATGATGCTAATGGTTTGAGGTGCTCACTTGACACGATAACATACAACTCCAGCCTTGGCGCCTGTGAGCAGCAAGCAGAATGGCAGCAAGCCATACTTTTGCTCCTCCAGGTTCAGCAGAGCTGCTTGGAAACCGATGTCATCACCTACAAGAGTGTGGTGAATGCCTGTGAGTCGGGAACAGGCTGGCGACAGGTTTTGTTCCTCCTTGGCGACGTGGAGTCGCAGCGTTTGCAAGGCTTGCGGCGTTCCGCATTGAGCAAGGAAAAGAGGTCACGAACCTCCATTCACCTTGCCTGCAGTCGGGTGATGAGCAGGCTATCAGTACCGTAGCGAGGCAGATTTGTTTTGAACGCTGCCTACTGCATGGCCAGGCTGTAGGTAGGTAACATATGGGTGGTTGTCAAGATTATGGTCCCTTTTTAGGTACCCTAGATATTAGGTGCCGTATTATAATAGGGATCCAAAAAGGGACCAGAAATTTTGACAACCACCCATATGAGAACCGGAGCTCCAGGCCGACCCCTTCAGCCTCCCTCTTGTGACGAAACGCCACTGCCACAGGTTCGTTTGTCCGGCGAATTGGCTGACTGCAGCGCCCGTGCGCTGGCATGCTTAGCCAAGTGCAAGGGGCCTTTGTCTGAGTTGAAATGTGTTGTGCTAACTATTAGGGACACCTGGGCCACTGGAGCAGCTGGCTTCCAACCTGCTCCCTTAAGCAAGTTAAAGTGGCCTACAAGCGGAGCACTTGATTCGGTTTGCATAGGTGCGATGCCTTGCTCACGACTCCCATCATGTAGTGAAGCCAGGATGCAGCGGGCGGGCACACGGCCCTCATTGCAGTCGAGCAGCCGCAGAGTGCTTTGACTGGAATGGCAGCTGGCTCGTCGTAGCAAGATGTGCTAGCAAGCCGCACCTTACTTGTCCTTGTGCTCACCCAGTTGTACGGCTGAGCGACATCCAGTGGTAAACCCAGTTAATCGAAGTGGTAACCAAAAATGAAGGCTCCAAACTTGCACAAACAAACTTGTAAATCAAAGGGGCAACCCAAAAACGAAGGGTCTAATCTCTAAATGAGTAGTATCCTACTTGGGGGGTATTATAGTCCCCAAGAAGAGTGAGATTATGTCGTCCCGCCTCTTCAGTGTAGTATATGACAATAGGAACAAAATCTTACTTGGTGCAACCACCAAAAAGAGCTACTTTGATGAGATTTCAACCCCAAACTTTTGCCAATAGCTCAGCTGCAGAGGGACAGATGCCCGCAAGTCTTTCCACGCCATTGCCGGCTTACCACAGTCAGCTTGACAAGCCTTCGCATGCTACTACTACTACTACTACTACTACTACAACCACGACGACCACGACGACGACGACGACGACGACGACGCCGCCGCCGCCGCGGCTGCTGCTGCTGCTGCTGCTACTACTACTACTACTACGACGACGACGACGACGACGACGACGACGACGACGTTACCTACTCCGACTACTCTTTCTAGTACGACTACTACTTATTATGACACTATGCTTGCTGTTAGTACTACTATACTTACTAATCTTACTGTTAATACTGTTACTATATGCTTCGTTTTTCTCCCCAAGGTTGTCGCTGGGTTGCTTGGGTGTCCTCGCTGCTGCTTTGCGCGGACAAGAGATTGCGCCCTGTGCCAGCGGAGGCTGGAAATATGACTGGAAGGGTTTAGGGCTTAGGGTGTAGGGGTTAGGGTTTAGGTTTAGGGGTTAGGGTTGAGGGGCAACGGTGGAAGAGTAACAAGACCAGAAAGGGAGCCCTAAAAATCCTAGGATTCAACCCAATGGAGAAAAGGCTCCACAAAAAAAACCAACAACCGCATAGTTTGCACAAAGTAGAGGAACAAGTCAAGGACACTGGCCCACGATCATCGTTTAGCGGGCCCAGGGCCAACAGGCCATAATAGTAATAATCCGAATATAGTACTAGTAGTAGTAGTAGTAGTAGTAGTACTACTACTACTAGTATCAGTAGTGGCAGTAGTAGTAGTAGTAGTAGTAGTAAGAGTCATAATAGTAATGAACATAGTAATAATAGTAGCAATGACTTAATACTAATTACTTAGGTGGACCCCCCCACCCAGTAATAGTAATTATTATACTGGATGACAAGGATTATGTTAGGGTCCTCTTACATTCCTATGATACCATTTTACAGGGTGGGGGGGGGGGTCCTCCTAAGTAATTACCATTCCAAGTTTCTAATGCTTGAGTATGACTCATGGTGGAGAAGCCGTAGGGAGCAACAAGCCCAAGCCTTTTTGCTACTTATTCTACCTGAAGTTGCAAAGGTTTCATGTGGTATCATGCGAAAGCTGCATGCCATTCTGTTTGTCAGTTTCAGCTTCAACTGTTTTAATTTGAATGAAGCTTGACACAGAAGTCGTGGTGTCGTGATGCAGACGTTCTCAGAGAGTGTCCTGTTCAGACGAAGCATCTCACAATCTTTCACATTTCGCCCTCCATCCTAAGCAAAGTGCTGCAGATTCACTGGCCTCCTAGGCGCGGCGTGTTATCCATTGTCGGAGACAGGCTACCGCTGTGAACTCAAAGCAGGTCGGAGTGCTGGATGTGCCTCGGGGCGGCTCGGGGCATGGGGCAGCTTTGCACGTCAGTGGCCTAATTAGGAGAGTATTGTCACGAGATTCCATGGACAGGTTTGGATGCAGAGGTTTGGGATCACAAAGATCTCAGACAAACATGTGGGGACGAGCAGAAGCTTTAGAATCTTGGAATAAGAGCCATGCGTCAACCCCCATCAAAATGTGAGACACAAGGCGTGTTTGGCGCTGTTGCGTAGGTTCAAGATGGGTCAAGCTTGGATGTTGTGCATGGCAGGACGGGGAAGCCAATGGGCGCAAGCATGGGCCAACGATGGACAGTACTGCCCATGCCCAGGACACTGTCGCCAAACGGGATTTGAGCATTAATCTATAGATGGACCAGTCAACCAAGAGATATAAGTGCTTGAACAACATGATCGGATGCAGCTGGCATTGATCCATTTTTCCTGTGATGTTGCAGCGACATGCGAGCTATAGTCTAAACTCCAAGTATCCCCCTTAGTAACCCCCAAAATAGTCTCATATAAAATCCCCCATATACACCCCCTTTAAGGAGTTTAGACTATAGCTCATGTCGCCCTCACCTGAGCTATAGTCTAAACTCCGTAAAGGGGGATAATGTGGGGGATTGCATAGGGGAGAAGTATAAGGTTTATTAAGGGACATACTAGGAGTTTAGGCTATAGCTCAGGTGATAACAGCTACAACGCTTGCCGTTAGGCGGCCAGAGATGTGCGCGAGGCAGCGCTGCCTCGAATGGCACCGAGGTCGCAATCAGCGCCAGGAAATCATACATAACCCTATTAACCTATATGAGTAGTATTTTGTTTGGGGATACTATGGTACCCAATATAGAGTAAGATGATATCCTCCTTTTGGGGTATAGTATTCTATACAAGGAATAGTATACTATATGGGTGGTTGTCAAAAATAATGGTCCCCTTTTTGGGTACCCTACATATTAGGTGCCGTATTATAATCGGGATCCAAAAAGGGACCATGATTTTGAGAACCACCCATATATAACCCTATTAAGCTACCTGACCCTATCTTGCCTTGTATTACCCTAGGTAAGCCTATATTACCTTATATAATCCTTACAACTCCATAATACCCTATATTACCCAAGGGGAGGTGGCCAGTCCCAGGCTTACACGCTCGGCTAGTCTTCTCGTTTGTTTGTCTTGGGTGGGAGGAGTGTAGCCATGCAAGGAAAACAAGCTTGCACAGTGTGAAGGAAGTTTTGCAGTTGGTTCGGCTTGGCGCATGCTGCCGCTCAGAATCCTGCTTCCGTCATTTGCTAGTAGCCGACTACAAACATTCACGGACAAGGTATAGCAGAGAAAGAAATCGCATGGGAGTGGCTTGCAATGTGCCCAGGACCGCTCTGGCGTATTGTTCCACCTGGGCCAGCTTCTTGACGCAAGACTGTTGTTCCACATCAGCTGTAGTCTAAACTCCTTACAGGGGGTTATATAGGGGATTATATAGGGGAGTATTACAGGATTATTAAGGGGAATAGCAGGGCACGCACGACTTAGTACCTTTTTGGCTGCCACCGTTCGAAATTGGACTTCCTCATGCTCATCAGCCTTGGGGCTACGGTCATGGAAACTCTCTTACGCGGTTTAGGGCTTAAGGTTTAGGGCTCAGGATGCTCGATGGTGTAAGCTGGATCCTCCTGCTGCTGCTGCAGCTGCTGCTGTGGGCAATTTTTGAAACACAGATGCTTAATGTTGGGATAATGGAAAAGAAAACGGAAGCTACTGTTTTTCAACTCAATGGGGGCTGGCGTGCAACGCGACGAACGCGCGGGATTTCCGGGAATCCGGCCACATAAGGCCCGAGTAGACAAGTCTGGCCATGTGCCCCATAGTCTAAACTCCTAGTATCCCCTTTATAATCCGCATAGTAGCCCCCTATATAATCCCCTATATAACCTCCTTGAAGGAGTTTAGACTGTAGCTCATGTGCCCCCAGGTTTGTGATTAACACGGCGGACGGCACGACGAGCGTTGTGGCTGGCTGGGACCGGCAGCCGAATCCGAAGATGCCAAGCTCCCAGAACTTGGAGGCTGTAGCGGTAAACTCCCTTGAGATGGTACTTTCCCACAATAGGGGGACCCCAATATGGATCCCCAAATACTATAATCCTTATTATGGGGACCCCCAAAAAGGTACACCTAATGTGGGGAAACCCTCAGATAGAAGCGCTGCGAAGGCTCACCACTATAACCCTAATATAACCCCAATATACTATATAACCCTATATAACCCTATTGGGATAATGGAAAAGAAAATGGAAACTACTATAGTATATTAGGGGTAATATTGGGATGATGGAAAAGAAAATGGAAACTACTATAGTATATTTGAAAGTCCTCTTGCTTGGACCTGCTGCCTTCCTAAAAGCTTTTCCGCGCAAGCACTCAGACTGGCACTTCGCCTCGCATCAGCTCCGAAACAGTGCCGGACCCAGGACACCTGACAGCAAATAAGCGCTGCTGGTCCAATCCCCCAGTCTGATTTTCTTGTGGCAGGGCATGAAAAAGTCCACTGCTTATCGCATATTACAACTTTTTCAGAAGAGACAGATGTTTCCGCTGCTTCATGAACATGCAAGCGATGAGCGGATTCAGGTCAGCCACCAGCCCTCATTACCTGTTGGCGGCTCTTTCAGGCATGCCATCGTGTGATGTTCGTCGGATTTTGGACTGCAGCAGGGCTGTTTGTTGCATGCTTGGTGTGGAGCACATCAAATCTGCAGCTTGGCTAAGGCTAGGTAGTTCCGTGTGCGTGTTAGTTGGCATTCTGATGTTTTTTCCCAAAGACGCTGAGCTCGACGAGAGTGCCTGGTCGTTGCCAGACTACATGGTAGTTAGGTTGTTCGGTAGGTTTCTTCATGTTGTCGTTTAGTAGGCTTTAAAGACTCTCAGATACTTCTCTGATTTTGAAGTAAGCCATGGTCTATACCCCTAGTATCCCCTGTAAGAACCCTCACAATACTCCCCTATATAATCCCATATATTCCCTAAAGAATCCCTCCCTAAGGAATTAAGACTATAGCTCACGTGCTGGACGTAGCCAAGGCTGTCCTTCCTTGGTATTGTTTGCGTCCTGCTGCTTAAGACGTCCTGGGTCATTTTTACCCACAGGCAAGACCTTTGCGACTGCGTGCGGTCATGTGGCCGTCGAGTGTCAGACTGTTTCGCTCGCGGAAAGGCTCGTTTTACAGATCGCAGCCAAGAAGAGAGGATGGTTGCTGAAGCGGTATGTGAAAGACGGCTCCAAATGGCATGGACCCTGAACAATGTCCTGTTGATCGTGCAGCTCGTAGTTTGCGTCAACATGCAGATCAACATCGCCATTGACAATCAGGACCGCTGGGCAGGTGCATCGCTTTCCTGGCTTGCCATTGCCGCTCTGGCGCTGTTGTGCATTTCCTTTATTATTCCTCAGTGTTTGAGGGTGGGAACACTGGATGTATGGTATGTGTGTGGTACTGCTCTGGTTGGTTTGGCTTTGTCGCCATTTTTCACCACCTACAACCAGAGCATTCGCATGTCGCGCCTCCTTGTCGGCCTCTACCGGATTCCGGCAACCACGGTGTCTACAAGACCCTGGCTTGTGGTGCTATGCAACTTGGCAACCGCAGCCCTCATGCTTGCTCGAATCAATCTGGAAAACCATGCGGTTTCTGGCACCTGTGAACAGTGGGATGGAGTATTGAACTCCAGCTGCATGGAGGCCTTGAACTTCTTGCTAGTTTCAATGGTAGGCGTCGTATTAGACCGCGCATTGAGAAGTCAGGTGCAGCAGGACGTGCAGTGTAGAAACACCGCTGCAGAACTGAGCGCAGCATCTTCGCTTCTCCATTTGACATGCGACGCTGTCTTCGAGCTTGACGAAGAACTGCGCCTGGCAGAAAACTGCCAGCAGCTGTCTGCAATGCTACTGCGGGACCCCATCTCGCTTAAAGGCACACGCTTCACTGATTTCATGCCAACCGATGACGAGGCCACGAGGACAGCAGAGATCTTGAAAGGATCCTCGTCTTCTGATCCGTCCAACACAGACTTCAGGGCAGAGGCTTTCCACACCCGCCTCGTTGACAGTTGCTCAAGCAAGTTTCGCTCCGAGGTTTTTCATGTAAGCTACACACGGATTGATGGAAGACATTGGCATTTGCTTGGCCTCCGCGACTTCACCGACCAGGGATCCTTGGCCGGACCAAATGCGGTTGACAGCAGGCACGATCGTGGCGACATGCAAGCATCGCATGCCCCGGTCACTCCAACTGCACAATGTCCAAACCCAGACGATCGTGGACGGGCGCTCTTTTTGCAGATAGACATGGACGCCCTCCTGGTAAGGGGAGCCTCGATAGCCGTCTCACGTTTTGCGGGTCAAGCTCTGGATCGCATTTTCGGATCACTGGAGATCCGGTTTTTAACTGATGTTTGGCAACAGGTTCAGGTTCTCGCAGAGAGGAGGGAGCTCAAGAACAAGGACTGGGGCTTTTGCTTGTGCTTCTTGATTTGAAGCATGAGTGACACGAGCTTGAATTTACCGATGCCCTCTCTTAGAGTTAGAGTGGGGGTGCTAAAAGACTCCAAGAAGCACCCTGAGTGTTTGGAAGCCCTAATGATTCCATGCAAGCCTCCAAACCCAGCCAAGCATGTGATGCATGTCAAAATGTCAGGAGCTCAACTTCTCCAACTTGGAGATTCAATGGACGCCACAAAGAGTTGTGTCTGTTTCCGGGACCATCGAAGTTATCAGGCGTATGGACGGCCACTTATGTGCCCAAGCCAGATGATTCAGCATGTTTTCAGCTCATGACGATTGACGCATATTGAAACACATCCGCCTGCTGCTCCACACGCCATCGCTACGCCCCACAGCATAGCAAGCCCATTTGTGGCACTTCTTGGACCTAACACTGCCTATGCAGGACTCCAAACATTGATTGTAAACGCTGTCGCGCACAGCCTCGGCTGTTGGGGTGCACAGAAATTCCTTGCAGACCACATTTGGGATGGGGGGGGTTGGATGGGAGGGTGGGTAATCGCTTCCCCTCAATATCATATCCCTTCCTAATATACAAAATACGGGTTCCCCAGAATTCCAAAGTCTGGAATCCGCTCCCAAGACTATCTTTAAACGGGCCAAGACTAAAGTTAATTACGGCTCGGATCCTGTGAATTAAGGGGGGTCCCTAGCACGACCTGGGATCTCCTTGATTTCCTACACTTGGATGGTTTTTGAATGGTTTTTACAGAGGAATTTAAATAGAATCGGAATGCGATTTCAGTTGGGTTTAGACCAAGTTTACATCGCTTTTGACTTGTTTGTAAGCAGATTTACGTAAAGACTTTACAAGACTTATGGGTTTGATTACTTTTTTGAGTTGGTTTTAACTGGTTTTGTTCAGCTTAACAATGGAGTTAAATTTGTTTGAATGGCTTTTACTTTGATTTTCATGGGTTGATTGCGATGTTGACTCGATTTTGTCGTTTGTTATACGATTTTATCGAATTAGAACTGTGCTAAACTTAGATTTCAATAGGACCCTATTATATACCCCCCCTAGAATTCGGGTCGTACGATAAATCCCCCCTAATATTAAATACGGTTCGGAGTTGAGTATATAGATTTCAACATTAGGGGGAAAGGTTTAGAATGATGAAGGGGGGTTTGCGGAGCAGGGAGGGGGGGTCGAGGGTTTGGCGGGGTTCGAGGGGTAGGTGCAAAAACTGCTCCCTACTCACACAACTTCGTCGTTGCCCGGCGGGGCTTGACTGAGCCGCACATCGCGGGAAGGGTGGGGCGCGGGGCTGTCAGCGCTCTAGTGGGTCTGCAGGGGGTTTTCAAGTCGGCCAAACGCCTTGAGGCTAGACGCCTCGGCGAATTTGTGGGAGACTGTTTTGTATCGCTTCACTTCTAGCAACGCCCCCTTGGCACCCAAATCCAACTAGAGCATCATGAACGCAGGTTGCTGGCTGAATTTTTACCTGCCAGTGTGGGCATTGTCACCTCGCTCTTCCTGCAGCAGCATCTTGACCGCTTCTAGCACGACCTCCCTGCTTTTACAGTCGAATCCCCATTACATTACTTATTGCGGTTCGTTTCAGTTCGGGGAGAAATGTAGCGAGCTGGTTTCATTTCGTTTCGCTTCAGTTCCCCATAGAAGCAATCCTAACCACAGGCGTGCACTAGCCCCGCTCCCTGCGCATCACCCCGCGCGCACCCCATAAGGCCAAACCCTGCCTCCGCCCTTGCGCTCGCACCCTTCTTCTCCACTCCCGTCCCGCCCTCCCCTCCTTCCCCCACCCTGCCTGCTCCCTCCATCACACTGCCAGTTCAGCTTTCAATACTCAGTCATAACGAGACATGCGCCACCTGTGTAATCAGCCTATTGTCTGAAGAGGAAATGTAGACTTATGAAGTTCAGTACAAATCAGGGCTTAGGGCTTGCGATCTTTGCAGAAGCTAGCGGCTAGTTGTGCTGCCAGCATGAAGCAGCAAGCCATGTGCCTGTTACAACAGCTACTTGAGGGTCGCTCGGAAGGTCCTCTAAAGGAAGAGACCGTTTGAATTCTAAACCCTGAACCCTTGCAAGCCCTATGACTATGGTCCCCCTTAAGTAGATAGACTATGGGGCATACGGGGATCTTATTACAATACACCCAAAACCATATTTTTATCTACTCAAGGGGTTCTCTAGGAGCAACAAGAGGACCAGCACGAGTTGGGAGTGAGCCATCCCAGTGGTGTTATTCTTGCGTAAGGAAGCCAAAGGGGATCACAAACAAAGGGAGGGCGGTGCGAAGGAGGGGGAGGGAGGGGGCTTTGGAGCAGGGGGTTGCACGACTCCTACGGTCCCGGTTACGGGTCCGGTTCCTACCAGGACGGCCAATAATAATAGTTCCCATTCCTTTTGCTATTCTTTTGCAAAGTGATACATTCAGAGGCAACGCTGTCCTCCGTGGGGTACCAGGGAAACTGCAGATAGGACAAGTGACAGATATAACAGGACAGGACGAAGGGTTTCAGCTTTGGGAATCAGGCAAGCTCTTGTGCCGGATACTTTCCAGAACAAATGAACCGAAGTCTAAACTCCTAGTATCCCCCTTAACAAGCCCTATAATTATCCCCTATATAATCGCCTTTATAACTCCTTCTAAGGAGTTTAGACTATAGGGCAAACGGCGGACGATCGAGGCACTTAGGTCTCAATCCGGGCCTCAAGTAGCGGTTGAGGAGGCAAATGTGGGTTTCCTAGAATTAGGGATAGCTTTTTAGAGGTCCCCATAATGAGGAATATACTATTTGGTGGTTTATTTTGGGGTCGCCAATTTGAGGAAACTACCAAATATGCAACCGTTCAGTTCCGTGTCACCCCCGTTTTGAAGTCGGAGACAGTTGAGATCTACATTAGGCAGTTGTAGTCCAGTAGAGACCAGGCAGGATTACAACAAATAGCGGCCAGTTGAAGTCTCACTCAACCCTAAACCCTAAACCCCTAGACTTTAAACCCTGAATCCTAAACCCTAAACCTTAAACCCTAAACCCTAAACTCTAGAATCGCTGGCCTGAACTGGCGTCGAGTTCAGGTTTCAGGCTGGCAACTGTGTTGTCTCATCGGCGCTCCCCATAGAACGGCGGCCAGTTGTGAGATTTGATTCTAATCTCTGTCTCGAAAGGCAGCCAGTTGATGTGAGATGGAAATTTGGAGGTTTTCTTTTCGCGAAGGTAGCCGGATGGGTTTGCAAGCGGACATTTGCTGCGCATCCTGCTTGGCATGAAAGTTGTACGTCCGGGCCCCTCGCGCGCGCATGCGAGACGGACGTTTTACACACATGAGCCTGCACCCTGGCGGCCAAGGTTCATCCCAGCGCAGGCTGTCCAAGCAGAAAACAGTGGATGCCCTTCTGAGAGGGAGAACAGCTGGCCTTCAACTTAAATCCTCGCTTTAGTAGGCCAGCGTCGATTGAGGCAAGCAACCCGCTTCAATTCTTTGTGGCCAGCGCGGCCGTGTGCTGGCAGCAGCATCCTTTTAAACTGCCACAGTTGGAGTTTCCACCAGACCAATATAGACCAATTATTGAATGCAGACGGTGGCCTTCGTGTTTGGAGGTTTGCTGCTTAGCAGCTTTCAGGCCACCCTAGAATCAAAGGAAACTTCGTTTGCAGTGCTGGAAATACGTTTGCATGCCTCTTATGCTTTCAGGCCGCAATTTGCAGCTTGCCACGAGGAAAGCGAGGAGCACACCTTTGGTGACATTTAACGAGTCTGTCATAGATAAATGCTATTTGTTGGTAGGCAACGGTCCATCGCCTCCGGCAGGTCATTGAGACATGACTTGCAATTGCGGTTGGTGCTAGGATCCGCCCACCTGCATGCAACAGTGCACAATTTAGGCCCGTGAATGGGCAATCACAGTTCAGAATGTCAACAGCCTGAGGCAGAGGCAGCGGGCATAAGGCTCAGCTAGTCGCTGATTTGAGTTTCGCAAATGCAAATTCAGGGAAGCTGGACGGCAGCGCGGCAGTTAAGCTTTGTGATTTAGCCAGCCGGTGCAATTCGGGGGAGCAACTTCCATGGTTGCAACTCTGTTGATTAAGATCCACCGGCAGGATTCCGCAATGACCAGTTTAGGGCAGCACCATCACGTTATTTCGCAACCGAATCTTTTTGCTACCAAACGCACTGCTGCTGAGAGACTTACAGTCTGACGGTTGTCATGAGCCTCAGATTCTCAAAAAGGCCGGGGCGCTGGCACCTGACAACTCCAGTGGAAGCAGACTCAATCAAGTTATTGCATCCAACTCGTCGTAAGCGACATGATCCAGCTTATCAGCATCATCATCATCATCATCATCATCGTTGCCCTTACATTCCGATGCTTCCTCCGCCATGGCTGTCCATCATTACGCAGTCGCTCAAGCATTACATTAACGTCTTCCTCGTTGGCATGAAGACGAGAAACTACGCAGAGAATGCGTCGAGAATACGAGCTACTCTCAATCAGAAACTTAAATTGGTTGTGTCGCATGGTCATGCACAGTATAACTGGGTTTAGAATTTAGGGTCTAGGGTCTATAGGGTGTTGTCCTGTAAGCTAATCACCTATGAATTCTCCATGTCATTTTCCATGTTCTTGTCCATTTCATTTTCCATTGTTGGGGTGATAACCAGGGGGGCCCATTACTAGGTGGGGGATTGACCCAAATTCTTGGGGCCGAAAATTCCTAACCCCATAGTCCCCCTTAAGTAGATAGAATATGGGGTGTATGGGGATCTTATTACAACATACCCAAAGCCATATTCTATCTACTTAACGGGGATCATACCCTAAACCTTAAATAGCAGTTTCCATTCTATTTTCCATTATCCATATCATACAACCCCTAGATTCTATGTATGGAAGGGGGACTATAACCCCTAAACGCTAAGCCCTATAATCTATCGACTTAAGGAGGACTATAACCCTCAACCCTAAATCCTAAGTTCTATCTACTTACAGGGGAACATTACCCCTAAACCCTACACCCCATATTCTATCTACTTAAGGGGACTATAACCTCTAAACCCTAAACCCTATATTCTATCTACTTAAGGGGGACTATAACCCTTAAACCCTAAACTCCATATTCTATCTACTTAATGGGGACAAAAACACCTAATTCTATCTACTTAAGGGGACTATAACCCCTAAACCCTAAACCCTATATTCTGTCTACTTAAGGGGGACTGTAACCCCGAAACCCTAAACTCTATATTCTATCTACTTAAGGGAGACTAAAACACCTATA